TGGTATTAGTTCTGCCCCTGAAGTGTTTCAGCGAAAGAATTTTGACCTGTTCGGGGATATTGAGGGAGTGCAGATATACTTTGATGGTTTTCTCTGGGGAGACAGAGTTGGAACATGACAAAATTTTGAAAAACGTTTTAGATAGAGCATCAAAATTTAACATAAAATTCAACATGTCAAAAATTCAGTTTAAGTCAGAAGAAGTAAAGTATCTTGGCCAGGTTTTTTCTAAGGATGGTGTTGAACCGTGTCAGTCCTAAATTATTGCAATCACAGATATGCCCAAACCACAAAGTAAAACTGATCTTTTGAGGTTGTCAGGCTTGGCAAAATTTTTGGGCAAGTTTGTCTCAAACATATCCGACCAAAGTAACTGCCCCCTTCAAAATTTGACAGGACAAGACGTTGACTGGACTTGGACCAATGAACATGACACATCATTATCAAACTTTTATTAACAACCGCGCATTTTTCAACCCATTATTACCAGTGGTTCCCAACCTTTTTTTAGTCACGACCCCTTTACAGATTTACTCATAAGGTTGCGACCCCCCTACCCATTAATAAGATAATAGATATAATACAAAATTTCATTTATTCGAGAAATCTTTACTAAAAATATTAATATATATAGCTAAATACAAAACGTCAATTTTTATTTTGGTAATGTGATGACTGAGCTGTATCCGAAAACTGAAAAGAAAGCACAAGTAGGGCGACATAAGGATATGAACTATGCATGGCACATCAAAATTTATTCAAGAATTTTTCCTGAAATAGGGCAGGTGCTGTGGAATCATTCCTCAGCTCTAAAAATTTATCCTACACTTCATCAGGAACGTCGGTCGGCAACATCTAACGAGGCCTGAAACGGGTTCCTTACTTACTGCAGCTTTTTGTTCAGATAACTCGGGAATAACGCCCATTTCATTCTCAAGGGATTGAAGGTGATAATCAATTTTCTCTTTTAGATTCTCCACAATTTCTGTTTCTGACATAGCTACTCCATGTTCAAAAACATGCTACTCACAACACAACACTCACAAACTGTGCTATGCGCTTCGTCCGTAAGACCAATGCAACCCTACGCGGCTTTTGAGGCGGAGGCTAAGGCGTGTTACCAAATGCAGAAAAATATATATTGGCATTGCGACCCGTCCAAAAACCCTATGCGACCCCTTTAGGGGTCGCAACCCACTGGTTGGGAACCGCTGCATTATTACCAATTGAAATTGAGACTGACTCATCAAAGGATGGCATTGGGTCTTGTTTACTTCAGGGGCACCCAATAGCTTTCGCATCACGAAGTATGACGAAAAGTGAAACCAACTATGCTCAAATAGAAAAAGAACTATTGGCAATTTTGTTTAGCTGCAAATAATTTCATTACTTTATTTTTATGTGAAAAATATGCACGTAAAAATTTAAAACAAATACTTAAATCTTATCCTATTCCTGAGCGCCTCTGGGAACGCATTGGAGCTGATATTTTTTCTTATGGTAACAATTCTTATTTAGTAACAATGGATGCTTACTCAGATTGGCTTGAGCTAGTATGAATTAAAAATAAATCTGCTCATGAGGTAATTCAAAAATTAAAAATTATTTTTCCCAAATTTGGGTCCCCTGACATATTAGTATGTGATAATGTACCCTTCAATAGTTATATTTTCAAAGAATTTGCCAAAGAGTGGAATTTTGAAGTCCCAATTATCCAAAGTCAAATGGTTTGGCTGAAAAAGCAGTGGATATCGGAAAAAAATTGTTTAAAAAAATCTTTAGAGGAGGGCAAAGACATATTTGATTCCCTAATCGAAATTCCCCTTTCAAATATTTGGAGTATTCTCCTTCCCAACTTTTAATGATCCGTATTTGTCGAACAAAACTTCCTGTATCAGCAGATCTTTTGAAACCAACTCTATGTAATAATGTTAAAGAAAAGCTTCAATTAAGACAAGAGAATAATATTAAATATTATAACAAAAATGCCACTGATCTGAAACCGAATCAAATGTTACAGTTTTCAATCATATTGACAAGACATGTAAACCAGGTAAAATTATACAGTTGTCTGAAAGTCCTATAAGGTTCTGGATGAAAATGGTAACAAAGATTTCAACATGCTTAGTAATGGAAATGTGCAGCAACCTAGTACATCATATAATGACTCATCTCCTAGTGTATCTAGTTATTTATCTCCTAGACTAGCAGATAAGCATTCTATGCCTAAGAAATCTCATTCTAAAATAAGTAGCCCTTTCAACAATGTTCAATCTAGTGCTAGTAACGAATCCATTTTGAGTTTACCTGTTCTGAAATCCAAGGTTTCAGGTCGAGTTATTAAGATTTATAGTTTTCATTTATAGAGTGTATATATTAGTTATTTATACACCAAGTGAGTTAAATGAATGTTTATTCATGAGAAGAAAGTTTAACCCACGAGCCCTAGCGAGTGGGTTAATTTTCTTCGAATGAATAAATATTTTAACTCACGTGATGTATACAAAATTTTATCCCATTTTGATGGACATTCAATTTAAATTAATAAGAATCAAATTATAAAAATAATTCATTTTGTAGCACATGAACGCGTCTAGAATTGAAATTGGTGGTTGCTAGGGTATAACTAGTTGTTTGTTTGTATTTGTAGCAGATTCTATACTGGCAGAGTGACTTAAAAGACCGAGAGTGAGTTAAAAATATTTTAAATCACTCAGGTGATAAACGTCTACTTACCTTTGTTATTATGCGTTCAATAATGTCATTTTTAAACGTCAAAATGGGATAAAGTATTTTTAATACCTATTTAGAAGTACCTGTCGTTTTAGTGACAAAACGTATGTCGCTTCTTGACACACAAATAAAATTAGGTTAGAAATTTCCTATTTGTAGATAAAATTAACGTATTAGCAATCGACGTTCGTTTTTGTTGGTAATGTTTCATCTAATTCGTGATTGATAAATAAGGATGGGGTTATTCTAAATGGGTATTACAAATACTATATAATTGAAGTTAGGCCTACGTGCGAATGTTGCGTACCTATTCATATACACCTGATAGTACAGGTACAGGCATAGGTAGGCATGTAGTCATAGTATCGGGCCTTCAAAAAAAAAAACCAATCAAAGATTGCTATGGTGTTTTGAACGTATGTCTTAGCAATATTTTCCTTTAATTTTGTCAATGAACTTTAATGTTAAAATGTCATGTCAAAAATCCTGACCAATAAAGAAACAGTAATTCGATGTACGTTTTCGTAATCAGAGCAGTCTTTGATTGTTTTTTTTTTCTGCAATGTATTATTATTTTATTCCATGTCATATTGTCTTCTACCAAAATAACTTTAATTTTTGCAGGCTCAAAATCTTTTCAACTTTCCATTAGTTTTTCTCCATCAATTATTGTTTCAATCGACGAAGATTGCATCTTTTCAGTGACTTAATTCATCAATCTCTTTGATGTTGGAATCTGTATCAAATTCATCTAGTCTCAGTAATGCATCCTCCTTAAGTATTTCAAAATCGGCTTTAATGAGCAGTGAAACAGATACAAGACAGACAACTAATTAAAGTTATAGCATAGCAATATAAATTGTGGGTAAAATATAGTACAGACATATTTTATGTTTAATGTCAGCTTAAAAAGCTAACGTGAATTATTTATATAAACAACAAACACAAACAACGACCAGCAAATTCCTCTCGCAGAAAACTAACAAATGGGGGGTTTAGTTCACGAACAAGAAAGAGGATTTTTCCATCTAAATTTTAACCACCTTTAGGGACAATTTATGGCCATATCCTTTTTAAAACAAAAATTCTTGTAAAGTTTTCTATAAATTCATCATCTGTAATTGTTTCCACTTTCGAACACACGCGAAAATCTATCTAAACAAAATCTTCAATTACTCGTTACGGAAAGTTTGGAAAAACTCCAAGACGGATAGTTTCTCGGTTAGAAAATCGATAAGAAAGCAAGTTGAATCTTTTAGCCGTTTGTTAGCAATACTTGGGTATTAAAAAGTTTAAAGCAGCGACAGCGGAAAATACTTTTGAGAAGAAACAGTAGTTGTATACTTCTGGCGTAATGAAACTTTTTTATTAGTTTTTCCAAAAAGAGGTTCTTCTTCACTCAGTCATTTTAGGAAACGAAGGCATATAGTAGTATATTTTTGAGAACCTCTCCATTGATTTCCTTCTTTTTTACACATTCTTTATCAGCTGAATAAAGATTTTTCTGATTTTGATTTCCATAAAATAAAAGAGGTAAACATTCATTTTCTTGCTCCACATTTTATTTCCATCGACTAACGCTACCTTGTTTAATTAGTTCCGTAAATATTTTAAATAAAACTCTGGTCGCTTTATATTCTAGACATTCTATAAATAATATTGTTTATTCAATTTTATCACATGCCTTCCTATCACCCACTAGTGCTGATTAACTTCTGCAGATGTCGGCATTTTTGCGGTAATACAGGACCACACATCCCTGGTTAATCGGCTGGGATATGCATGTTATTATGATATGTATTAACTAAATTATCTGAGAATCTAAAAATGATCTGTTTCATCATTCATTGAATTAACTTTTTTCTATTTCACTGGTAATTTCCTTTAAACTTACAAAAGTGTATTCCTAATCAGTCCAGACATTACTTTAACAGTTTAACACATAAAAAAAAAAAATAGTAATAATTGTTGTGGTATCGACTTTTGCAACTACACATTTGTCTTTTGCCTGTCTGCTGCTTTTTCGACATATTTTCATGTTTATGTATTCACGCAAACTTTCCGTTAATTGGTTTATAATTATAGGGAACAGGGTTCAAATTTATTTCAAAACTTTTCAAAGTTGAGAAGTGAAATTACTACCTTGAAGTTCCGAACTTGTGGTTTACATATAGGTAGGAATTACGCTAATTTCTAGTTTATGAATAAAGTAGGTTAAGTATCCAACCCTTTATACACAGGACATTGATTAATGTTTTGCTTTTAAGGTTGTGAAGATGACTCCAGTATTGAGGATGATTCGACTTTAAAAGACCGCCACCATTTATGGTCTGGTAGCGCTTCAAACGCAGGTTCAACTTCAGATCTGTCTACTACATCATCTGAAAGAACTGGAACTTTAGGAGGTAATATTTTTGTTACAGCTAGAAAACACAATTTACCCTAGAGATTTTTATAGACTCTAGTTCTACGAAATGCACTAGCGACTTTCAATGGATCCGTAAAGAACCTACAGCATTGTCTTCGTCAATGTCTTCGCCACAGCGTCTGTCTCCTATTAGAATGGAAGAGGAACTTGTTCTTGAACAGCACACACTAAATAAACCTCCTATCTCTAGGTCGTTAAGAGATAAGACTCCTAGGAAAAGTGGTAGTGACAGATCAGGCCCGTCAGCGCCAGGAAGTTTGGACAGGCGAAGACATCATACTTTAAAAAGGGAGGAACGAGATCAAAAATCCAGATCTTCGCATGTTAAAAGTCCTCCGAGATTAGACGATTTTCAGTCTAATTTGGGTAATAACAATAATCAGAATGGGTATTGTTGTCCACCAGGATGTGGACCCTATGATGGTTATTTTGAAAGTTTTCATAGAAGACATGAAAGGTAATAGTTTGAGCGATTTCAGTTTGGTCTGTCAATCGATGATATAAAGGCACTTTGGTATCGTATCCCTCTGCCTGTGGGTAGTAAGATCTTGTCACCATCTATTTCTCTTTCAAACAAATCTTTCCTCCGTTTCAAAAATTAATTTATCTTGGAGGATTCATACGCTGCTTATCTTCATCCAACTAGTTCGCAATGTCTAATATTCTCTTCTTTTTCTCACCAGATATGTTTATGTATTTTCCCAATCATTCTACATTCCAAGTCCATCTACTTCTAGTGATTTATTAGATAATGTTCTGGTAAAGAAAACACAGCAATGTTTGCTTTGCTTCCAAACATTATTAGCTATTTTGAATATATCAGCGTCTGGCGCTGTCCTAATCAATATATCATTTAGTTGGCCTACCAAAATGCAGGTGGCAAAATGGAATGAAATCTTTGTTTATTTATTTTTTTATTGGATTAATTAATATTTTCATTGTTTTAGATCTGATCCTCAGCGTTATGGCAGTAGTCCGATGCTCATGGAACACCGGGAGCATCGTTTCGCTGAAAGAGGAAGTCATCCAGATATCTATGGTGACTGTTCCAGATATCGACACGATATGTCATCGTGTTGTTCATATCATTTGGGTCCGCCGCCATGCTGTTATTATGGTAGCGAAAGGGGGTATCATTGGACGCCTCAATCTTATCCCAAGGTTACCCATGCTTGCATAAATTTAGATTTGAATTTTAAATAAAATTTGCTTTAAAGGAGAGATCATATTGGTTACCATAATCTTAATTTTAATTTGCAAACTTTTTTTTATTTGAAAAAAAAAAAAAATCTATTTTGTTTAGCCTGGCGAGCAAGATGAAAAGTTACGCAAGATGCAATATGAAAGGGACAACCTCCAACTGCAAGTTCAAGTGCTCACTGAACAGATCGAGGCTCAGTCTGATAAAATTTCGGATTTGGAAAAAGTCCTTCAAGAGAAAAAGACGCTTCTGTCTGATGCCGAAGAAAAACTACAAAGGGTGAGTTAGTATTTTGGACCATTTACTTTATAGGCTAAGGATAATGAAAAATCAATAGGGCAAGTACACGATCTGACAGTTTGACACTATTGACAGTCGCCTTGAGGTAAAACAAAGATTACCCCCCCCCCCGTTTTTATTCTCATCGGTGACTTCACCGATGAGTTAGCTATCTTTGTTTAGTGAATGGAAAATGACAATGACAGCCATAGAATGGTGGATCCATCGGTAAAATTTGATGAGAATAAAAACGCAGGGATATAGGTGTCCTTAGATAAACTGACACATTTTGCAGGTAAGTAGGTATCTCGAAAACGGGAAAAGATAACGAGATGCGGTTTGTTCTGGGAGAATAGGGATTTTTTAAAGTTCTTTTTCACATTATTACCGAATCCTGAAATTTGCGGAAATTTGGTTTTACAGATATGCGATTTTTTGAAATAAAATTACTGCCTTATTTTTAATGAAACACCCTGTATCTTTTGTCATCGTCAGAAAGCCAGATTTTTCTACTTTACAAAAATGTATAATTTTTGTCAATTATCTTGAACTTGGATCGTGAAAATTGCACTTTGTCGAAGGGAATACCATCGACTAACCAAAAAAAAAGAGAATTAATTTGTGCTTAATACTTTTATTAACTAATTAGCGCATAGTTAACTAATATTACAAGTCTTAAACACAAATAAGTGCATATAAAACACAAATTATTAATTATCATTTTTTTTTTTGGCCAGTTGACGGTACGCTCTTCAACCAAGTGCAATTTTTACGATTCAATTTCATGATAATTGAAAAAAAGCATACGTTTTTGTGAAGTAGAAAAGTCACGCATTCTGACGATGACAAAATATACCGGGTGTTTCATCAAGAATAAGGCAGTATGTAATAGGGTACTTGCATGGAAAATATCAAATATCAAACGGTATATCGTTGAAATCAGGTTAAATGGGACTTACAAATAAGCGCACAATATACAGGGTATTCCATTAAAAAATATATAACTTCACACTGCTGCACTTTTTTGACGCACCCTATATGCCTAAAATCAAATTAGTTAAAAACTTTCGACAATTTGTTGAAACTTTTGTATTTGACACTTTTGTCAAAAATGTCAAATGAAAAAGTTAGAAGGGGTGACATTTATAATAGATCACCCTGTACTCACTCTCACTATTGTGTAAAGCAAATCGCTTAACACACTAGTGCCTAAAGTAACGTCAATGACAGATGTCGACACTGTCAATTTAGTTTTTTTCTGGTAGATTACTTCACGCACTAGTGCGTAAAGTAATACTTCACGCACTAGTGCGTAAAGTATTTGTCTTAATTTTTTTTTACACATATTTCAGTTGTAGTAGAAAAAAAAAAAGTTTTGATATTGTCTTTTTATCAAAGAAAAACGTTTTGTTTGTTTCATTTTCGATAGTAGAATTTCATTTTATTTTCTATACAATAAACTATTACTTCTGCAGGTAATTTTTGTTTACATTGGTAAACTTGATTTGGTCAAAGGTTCTAACCTCGGTCAAATTGAGGGTCAATTGACAACTTTTGACTGTTCAATTGACCGAGGTGCCATCCCTACTTTTGTGTAATCCAGAAGTTTCGTGAACATGCCTAGAGCTTGTTTAGTTGTTAATTGTGGCAGTATAGCGGAAGGGATACAATATCCTTCCATAGAGGTTTCCATCAATTTCGAATAACAATGGGAGGTTTGATTTATTAGCTCAAGAAAGAAGAGAAAAATTGATTTATGTTGGTAACAGAAGATCTGACAGAAAAATAGATTGAATATAGAGTAACCACAGCAACTATACTTATATATTTGTTCTTGTGACACTTGGTTTTGATATTTGTTGGAAAAACCCTGAATTTAATCCATCATAGAAAAACCTAGCAAACTTCTGGATAAAAGATCACATAGACTGGAACATAAACACTTCACTTCAACTTTTTTAAAACAAAATAACACAAAAACATGTAAAAAAGCTGTGAAAACCGCATAAATAAATTATTTGTTTTACCTCAGGGCGACTGTCAAACTCATTTGTGACGTCACATGGACATACCCTATTGACAATTGAAGTTAGGTTAGCTCGAAAATGAGTGGGGCTTATTACGGACCTCCACTGCGACTCATTAGTCTATTGTGGCTCATGCCTATTCATATTTCTCCATCACCTATTTTTTCACTGAAGTCAGAGAGATGTTGCTCAGGTCTAGATCTCCCAGTGAGAGAATTGCCCCACGATGCCTCAGGCTGGACATTCGCAAAGAATGTGTGCTGCTGTCTCCTCGTCCCCCGTGCATATACCCCAAGACAGTTATAATTTTATTGGGAACAAAATAACATAAAGCTGCGACTAGTCTGAATTGATAGGGGTTATGGTCCTGATGAACATACTAAGTCCCCAGACCTCCTCCTCGGGGAACATTGTCAAAATGGCGCCGCCATCTTGGATTTTTGTCATTTTTTGCTTAATTTACGTTTTACTCGAAAACTACTCATTTTTAGAGAAAATATAAAGAATAATAAATTAGAGAGCACAAAAAAACCTTTGAAAGGAATTATTTTTGAACTTCCTGGGTACTACAATTACTGAGATAGGAGCCGAAGAAGTACCGCCGAAATACCGCTTTCCACATGCGAGCTAATATAACTTGAATGTTTTGCGTTTTGTAGGAAATCTGATATAAATTTATTTTAAACGCTTCAGAATAGCTTTTCCGTTACACTTTTATGAAAATTTTATTGTTTCATACAACAAATTCGATCAACGAAGCATAATATTACTAGCAATGTAATATTCAACTATTAATTTCATATGGAAAAAGAGCTTATAGTAGGCATGAAAAAATGGAGTAAAAATAACATAGGTATCGTAGGCCTATGAACATCACATTGAAACTTGAGGAGCGCGGAGTGACAGCGCAGCGGCTACTTTCTGGATTGAATAAATAACCAAAAGAAAATATGAGAAGTATTGGGGAGCTAAAATATGCTATATGGATTTTTTTATATCCGATAACTTTCCATACATATAGACAATAGATGAACAAAAATGATATGACATGAAGTTACTGGAGAAAGGTTTTTCACTAGCGTGCAAATAAGCCCACTTTCCGCATTACTTTTACGCGGTAAGGGAAAATATCTAAAATTGTATTTGAAATTAGTAGAGGTAGAAGTATCAATTTTCATCTAGTACAAAAAATATCGTTCCATACTCGTGCGGAAAGTATCTTTTGACTCTTTTCCTCACTTGATTCCTTCGCATCGTTCGGCCAACTGTAATCGCCTGCGGAAAAGTGATACTTTCCGCACGCGAGTACTCATATCAGAATAGCTATTTACCTAACAAGTGCGGAAAATGATTTTTTCCGCACGCGGCTGCCGTTCACCGAACGACGCGTAGCGGAGTTCAGTGATGCAGCCGAGTGCGGAAAAATATTTTCCGCAAGTGTTAGGTACAATATTTTTCCTACAGGCGAAAAAATGTAAAATTTTTCTTTTTTTTTTGACATATCAGTGCGGTAAAATTTTTTCCGCCCTGACAGCCGTGCGGAAAAACTTTTTCCGCATTGATATGTCAAAAAAAAAAGTTCTACCGCACCGTGCGGGAAAACTCATTTTCCGCACGCACATCAGTGCGGAAAATCGATTTTTCCGCACGGCTGTAGGAAAATATGTTTTAAGTCACGTTCTTGAAATTTCCTGCTAATGCTTTTTTCTCAAAAAGAAAAATAAAAAAATCCTATGTCGGCGGTACTCCATCGGCTCTTATCTTTGTAAGGGTACTACCGCGGATGTTCGGTGGTACCTATGTACCTCAGATTTAATTCTTCGATTTACGTCTCTTTATATTTCTTAAAAAGTGAATGGTTTATGAGTAAAATGAAAGTTAGGCAAAAAATTGTTTTTTGACAGTACTTCTTTGGCTCCTATCTCAGTAAGGGTAGTACCCGGGAAGACCAAAAATAACTTTTTATAAAGGTTTGTTTGTGCTCCATTTATCTCTCCTTATATTTTCTTGAAAAATGGGTAGTTTTTGAGTAAAACGTAAATTGAGCAAAAAATGTCAAGAATTCAAGATGGCGGCGCCCTTTTGACAATGTTCCCCTAGGGGAAGGTCTGGGGACTTTTAGTATGTTCATCAGGACCATAAATCCTATCGATTGAGACTAGTCGCAGCTTTATGTTATTTTGTTCCCAATTCACCATATAAGAATTTTTAACTGTCTTGGAGTAATAGCCTGCACTCAGCATCATCTGGTAGTCCACAAAGCAGTGGTGTTTTAGTCTATAGTGTCTGGTGAATAGGCCGATTAGGGTTTTCAGTTTAGATCTGCCGAGCTCTAGCATTCTTTCACTGGTTGTCTTATGATTGCCTTTGCTTGTGTCATCTCTGGCAGTTTCAGCCAATGTTCGTAGGCCCAGGTTTTAATGGTTTGATTTGCTAAGTAATGACAATGCCTAGCACTGGCTCTGACCCTGTGAACTTGGTTTCAACTTCCCATCTGGCAAGGAGATCCGCCATTTCGTTGCCCTTTAACCCAGTCAGTGTCCAGGTATCCACATTAGGGTTACTTTGTTTTCCTGTCCTAATTTGCTTAGGGCTTCCTGACAGCTCCAAACTTTTCTTGAATTACAGTAAGTGGACCTAAGCGCCTTTAAAGCGGTTTGGATATCAGAACATATTTTTGTGGTTTTGTGAATTTGAGGTCGATCCTACAGCCTCTTAATTCCCATTTTAATGGCATGCGCTTCCGCTTGAAAGATGGTTGCATTGTTTCCTAGACTGATGGATAACCTAGTTTACGGTTTTGCACCACAAACGCCAGCTCCCACCCCACTGTCTGTCTTCGATCCATCCGTGAATAGACAAATATCTGCTTTCAGTGGGGCATGCTCACTAGGCATTCCCGAACCGCTTGTGTTCTGATAAACTTCAGCAGTTTGGTGCCTTCCATGTTCCCTTTGTCATCCATTTGATCTCTGTACGTATGGTGTATTCTGTAGGTTGTTTTTATGGCCTCTCTTTCCAGATATGTAAAGGGAGAATTCCTAGGAGAAACTCCATGGCTGTTGTTGGCGTAGTGCTGAAAGCTACTGTTATTGTCAAATAGGCCTTGAACATTTTGGTATAAGAAGCCAGCTCTTGCTCTAATTGACTTTCTCACCAATCGCTTCTATCAGGTGAGGGTCAATGCTATTTTGTCCGATAAACATCCGGTTATGAGTGGGGTCCCTCAAGGGTCTGTTTTAGGACCATTACTGTTTCTGGTTTTTGTTAGCGATTTGTCATGGAAGATTGTGACAAAAATCATTTTCTTTGCTGATGATATCAAGGCGTTCTGTAATCCATTGTTGCAAAGGGACAATGGGACTGCTTGAATAGGGCTCTAAGGCGAATTGAGATATGGACGGACCAGTGGTGCATAAGGCTCAATGCATTAAAATGTACAATACTGCATATTGGTCCGAATAATCCACATGAAGCATACTTCCTAAATAAGTTCACTTATACTAGCGTTGCTGAGAAACGGATCTGGGCGTGCTGATTTCTTATGATTTGAAATGGGAGCCCCAGATATATAGGATAGTGAAAAAAAGCGATAGGTAGTTTTATTCTCATGGTGCAAAAGACTTTCAAAGATAACTCTCTTCAAATCGTGAGGAAGTTGTACGCCTCCTATATCAGACCGAAAATCGAGTATGCATATTTGGAACCCCTACTACATCAAAGACATTGAAATTTTGGGAAGGGTTCAAAGGCGGGTTACCAGAATTCCATTCGAGTTGAGAGGACTAACCTATCCTGAAAGACTGGAAATATTTTGGCTAACTACTTTGAAGTAAAGAAGAACTAGGGGTGATCTGATAGAAATCTTTAAGATTCTGTCAGGCTACTATTCTTTGTTTCGTTTCAATCGGAACCAGCAGCTGCGCGGATACTCAAAAAAATTAAGCAAGGAAAGATCAGCATCACTTCCAAGAAAGAATTTCCTCACCAATCGGATTGTGTACATGTGGAACTCACTTGAAGAAAGTACAGTATCCGCAAATAGTGTAAACTCTTTTAAAAACCGTGTTGTCCGTTATTTAGAGCAAACAGCCCAGAATTTTGTGTACATTACGGTGCCTGAAAGTGTTCACTGAATTTTTTAATTTTTTTTATAAAAATAAGTAATTTTGTAATTAAAATTCTTAAATAGTATATCGCTTTGAATTTACTTAGTTTTTGTTTTCATATTTGAACGCGCTCGTAGAAAAAATAATGTTTCTAACCCAGGCGGAAAGTGTCTTTCCCGCACTCGACTGCTTGCCCGAACTCCGCTTCGCGTCGCTCGGGTCAACGGCAGTCGCGTGCGTGAAAGTATCACTTTCCGCACTTGTTAGGAAAATAACTATTACATCAATATTTTTTATAATTTTTTGCTAATGAATAACAACCAAAAACATGATTTTTTATACATTTTTTAGCTTGTGGTCAGTGGTCAGTTTGACACAACAAAAAAAGTCTTACTGGGCTGGAATTTAACAAAATGTGATCAATAAAAGTCAATAAATAAATGTGCAAAATTACAGATTTTTTTCATTATTTCATAATGCACGTATCTGCCATATGCTGCCACCGGACAGAAGAAGTAAAGCAAATGGGCGCGCGGTCTACAATCGTAGACCAATCGTGTTTAGACGTGCCTAAAAATTAGCAACAGCTTGGTTCGCTGCATTTCGCATACTGGAACGATAGATTTCGGTGTAATCGACAGCTACTCTAGTTCGCGCATGCGCAACCAATGCCTTTTTGAATCTATGGTCGTTGAAATATGTGTGGTCTACAATCGTAAACCGCGCGCCTAACGTAGGGTTAATGTCATTACTGCTGCTTGGATTTGATTCAACTATAGTTCTTTTTCCTAGAACAAAAACTACATCACCTATATCAATCTACAACATAGAGCATTCAGAAAACTTAATCTGTTGGAAGTTGAAATTGTTTACTCCAACATCCCCCTGCAACTCCACAACAACAAAAAAGTCTATGTAACTAATAAAATAATGTTAGTGAAAATATTTAATAAAGAAGGAGGCACAATTTACATTGAAAATAGGCCCCCGTAAATTTCAACCAAATCTCAATATTTCAAAGGTATCATTATTGCAAGAAAAAAATTGAAATGTAAAGAGGATCGTATGTCTGTGATAGCAGATATGGCTCATCAAAGTACGTACATAGGTCCTCCTATGCTATACATAGGAAATATCTGAGGCAATATTCCTACGTAGATTCTCTTGAATATCTCGAAAAATACTAATCCTATTTTAAAGTTTTTGGGGTCCTTTTGTAGGTATCAAACTTCAAAAAGGTCAAAATCGGATTAGTATTTTTCGAGACATTCAAGAAAATCTACGTAGGGATATTTCCTCAGATATTTCCTATGCATAGCATAGCAGGACCTACGTACTTTGATGAGCTATATCTGCTATCACAGACATACGATCCTCTTTACATTTCAAATTTGTGTTTGCAATGATGATACCTTTAAAATATTGGAAATACATACTTTAATATTCAAAATTTCTTTCAATATTTGTGATACCAAAATACATTCAGTAATACCAAAGATAATCCTACTCGGAGTAGGATTATCTTTGGTAATACAGTTAGACGTAGTAACATAATATTCTGATTCGCCCATGCCCTAAATTATTGTCAATTTCAGCAACAGTTGCTGTATTTTCTTCTGGGTTTCTTGAAAATAAATCTAAAGTGTATAAATTCTAATTTAATTCTCCAATAACTACTACTTTCTTTTGATTTTGTATCAAGACCTTTTTATTTTCAAACACCACCCTTAGACCTTTTTCTTGTAGAATTTTGACAGACAATATGTTACGAGTCAAACTTTCACAGTCGAGGATATTCTCTAAAACTATTTTTCTACTATTTTAGCTTCAACATGCAAATTACCTTTTCTTTTTGCTATAATAACTTCATCCTTCTTGGCTATTCTTACTCACTTCTTCTACATTAGTCAAATTTTTCCCACAGTTGAGTTAATAAGATTTGTAGCACCGCTGTCAACTACAAAGTTAACTTGACTTTTTCCTGCTGTATAACAAGCCAATGTTCGATTCAAATTCAGAAATACAACTTCATCACTTTCACTTTTATTGTCGTTTTGAACCAAATGCGATTGTCCCCCACTATTATTTAAGTTTACGGACAGTCCACCTTCTTGTGCCCCTTTGTACCACAACCATAGCATCTGAATGGAAAGTTCTTATCATTTTACTTGTTTTTCCAATTTTGTCCCCTTGGATTAAAATGTGGCTTGTAATTTCCTTAATATCCTAGAAACACCTTTGACCCTTCACCCTGATATTTTGGTTCATACAATAACATTTCCTTTGCAGTAGCCTTACCTTTCAGCTTCTCGGGTATATTATCAGCCAAACTATTGACTATCAAATTACGAGCCTTAACATCATCCTTTTTAAACTTTACATACTCGGATGATTGCACGTCAGGCGGATCCTTTTTCAGCATCTCCAAAACTCCATGATGCTCAAGAAGCAACTTCATTCTGCGAATTAACAATTAGAAAATCCTTTCCCATCAAATGATTTTATCTGTACTTGGGTACTGTTTGCTATGACTGTTCACACCTATTTCCTTTCTTGATACTGTATGAGCTCCTTCTCACTGTAATTGTTATCTTCTGTGTACAAGGTATTTCAATTTACTTACACCCTTTTTCAGCCTTACCAGTCAGCTTTATCTGGGCTCGTAACCTTTTGCCTTTCTACCTTCTTCCACACAGACCAAGAACCAAGAATGAGCTATGGATTACCTAGATTGGTGTCTTCTAGCTTCCAGCATTCAAAATAAACAGGCAAATTTCAAACACAGTAAAAGCGTTTATACATATTATAAACAATCAACAATAATGATTTGTTACTTAGTAATGATTACCTACTATATATATGTAATTCTTTTTCCTAAAATATAAACTACAACACCTATATCAATCTAACCTAACTAGAACATAGTGCATTTAGAAAACTTAATCTGTTGGAATAGTTTACTCCAACAGGTTGTGCCCTAATCCGAATGGCCCTTTCCTGATGTGTGCGTCCAGCACACTTTTCAGAAGGAATGATGTAAGACTTATTGGTCTGAACGATTTAGGTTAAAGGTCGGTTCTACTTGTCTTGGGTATATATGTATAATACCCTTGTCCTTGACCAGCTATTGTCCGTCGATTTTAATCTGATACTCGGACGGAATGTGAGCTGGTGGCTCCCTTACATTAGAACGCCAATGGTTACCTGACGTCACACCTGTTTTTGCCATATGAAACACCCCCTCGCTCCTCATACCGCAAGTATCAGTTAAAAATCGATGAACAATAGTTGGTATGTGATATCAAGCTAGGCTTGATCTGAATATCCTAATTAGTGAAGGTAGTAGGATATCCAGTCCGTTTTGGAGTAGAGCCGGAAATATACCATCCATCCCTGGCGATTTGTGAGGATGGAACGATTTGTGAGTTGTCAATTATTTGGCTGCCTGGGGAATGGTTCTCTGCCAACACATTCAGTTTTTCTTTGACAAATAAAGAAAAATGTCACCAAGTTCCTAGAAAAAAACCCCAATTTGCTTCCGGAACATTTAAAAAAATATACCTATAAACTGATAGTAACCTTACTATGATTTTTTTATTAGTATTGACTTGAATGATATTCAAATTATATTGTTATTATTAATTTCAGGAAGTTTTGTCAAGATCCTCTCTAGAAACTCAAAAACTAGAATTGATGTCTATAATGAGCGAATTGAAACTAACGGCGGCTTCGTTGGAGAGGGAAAATATGGAATTGCGAAACAGTCACTTCAATAACAATTCAGATGGTAAAAAGCCACCGCCAATCCCCAGACTAGGATCCGCATCTCAGCCTCAATTAACATCTACACCTCAACACTCTACTCAGGTAAGATTTTATTTTGTAATTAATTTCCTACAAAAATATGTTGTTTAGGGTTTAAGAGTTTCACCATCGCCTAGTCCTGTGGGTATGTCATCAACTGGTCTTAAAAATATCGATCCTGCATCGCCATATCAAAATGATGTCAATCAACGATCAAAGGTTAGTGGATCTTTTTTTCTTATAGATAACAATTTAATGATAGAAAAGTGAGGCTGAATATGTGATACACAGTTAAATGGTATAACGTACTTTTCTAACTGATTGATTATGGAGTTTGACCGAGAACTTGAATCATTTTAAGAAAACATTGTACTAGTACTAGTAGATATTATAGGTAGGGTAAGGTAATTAGCGACAGATATCAGAACTTGGCAAGTAATAAAGTTAGTTTTCCTGTGTAGTTTTCAATAGATAATTTACTATTAGTGTTTTCACAAATATCGACAATAAAATACGATACTTTTCAAGTTAGAAAACGAAAAAATTGAATAAAAACACGTTTCCAGGATAAAAATGGATGTGAGAGTTAGAATACTTCCCTTAGTAATACATAAGGTTGGGATGCATTCCTGCATTTTGACTATATAAATACCTTAGAGCACGTTCTGCAAGATTGGCAGTTTGTTTTGCATAAGAAAAGGGCAATAATCTACCTATTTGTTTTCACCTAGAGCTATATACGAGGCTATATAGGATATGAGACCTTTGTGCAAGCTTTGCCTTGAAGCTGCACATCTTATTTCTTGAAAGTATATAGGGCTGACATACATAAAATTAGGTCTTTCAAGCCCTTTATAATTTCTAGCGTTATTATTTTGGATTTCATTTTATCAGATTTTAGATACTAATATTGGTATTCAATAGATTCAATTTTTAAAGATATTTCACGAAATTATATTATATATTTTTTTTTGTATGCATATTTATTCTTGAGAGTGTGACATGGCAACATTCCTATTCATCTGTTGTTGCTCATGTACATACAATTCCTCGAAGTCTACATTGCGACTGACCCAGCTACATAGAGTGCACTAATTTGAGATTATCTTTTCCAGACTCCACCTTCAAACTACAAACGTCAAATAGATGTTCAATATGGAAGTTTGCCACGTCAGCAGTTCCTTTCAAACGGTTCCGGAGTGGGAAATTTTTCGATGGTAGACAACAACGCGAATCCCCAGCAAAAAAGAGGCGTAGCATTCGGTAGGAACAGCAGTTTACAGCATCTTCATATGGTGATGGGGGGCGGCCGAATGAGAGGGTTCTCGGTGCCCAACTTAGGTGATATAGCTCCAGTGACTGATGTATGATGTCGCGCAGCTGACTGGCTTTTAACTTCTTTCTTTATTTAACCATAAATATTTCAACCTAGATTTGAGCTTATTTAATACTTTAGCTTAGCTATTATTTATTTTGAAAGCACAAATCAACTTTCGTTGTTTTCATAAAGCTTTTTTTGTCATTCTTTATTTCTAGCAGTTATGCTTCTATGCACTGTATAATATTATTTTAATTTTATCACATTCACACCACATAAATTTAAACGAGTCAGTCTAGAGTCTAGAGCTATTCACTTAATATAATTAATCATCATATCTCTATTTAGCTTTTAAGTGTTTTTGGTGTTGCAAGATTTAGATAATTTGGTTAAAAAAATATGGTCTAATGAGCTATTTGTACTGTATTTACTTTCAATCGGTCTATGAATAATTGAAAACAACTTCTTCAAAGAAATTGGACTCTCTGTGTCTCTCTGATGGAATCTAGTAAGAATCTGCTTCTATTTTTTTACTAACCTACTCTTGGATTTTTCTAAAGATCAGCCTTTAATTATGATGTCATTTCTGAATTTCCTAGGCATTCTATAAAATGCGTGTTGAATTTAAGGTTTTATATTTTGCATTTCATAACATTTTTATACCTAGGTATTTTTATCACTGTTAAATAAAAACTGGATCTTTTCATTTCGCTCCAATGTTAACATTGATCTACTAAGTTGTTGTTCATCCTTCAATTCTATTATGATTGGTTTAAACTTTAAACTAACAATGAAAATCCTATACATAGAGTGATGCTTAGGAATAAATACACTTACACAAAATTACTCTAATAACTGTATTATAACATATTCAATTATTCTTCTTCAGCTGAAACAGAAAAGGTTGTTATAGATGGCAATGCATCAAAAGAAGAATCCCCCGGTTCTCCAACGTTAACCTTCAATAAAAATAAGGGAATTAAGAAAATTTTCGGCAAGATGAAACGTTCGGGATCAGGAAATCTTGAAGATTTACCTGCAGGAGTTGGCGATTTCCAAAGAGGCGGTGTCAGAGCTACTGCTGCAGCAAGATTGGGCTGGAGCGAACCTCAACTAAGCCCCAAGTAAATAAGATTCTGTTTTTTAAATTTCTATTTTTCAAATTTAAAATTTTAGACCTGACAAACCGTTTGCTGAGTGGGACATTGAGAACATCTGCGATTGGTTGCAAGATTTAGGCTTGGATCAGTACATTACAGATGCTAAAAGATGGGTGAAAAATGGTCAGCAATTACAAGAAAGCTCCATCAATGAAATCGAAAAGGAATTGAATATAAAAAATCCTTTACATAGGAAAAAATTACAATTAGCACTGATAGATACAGATGAAAATTCATCTAGTGATCCTTATTTGTCACAAGCAGGAAAATTGGATACTGCGTGGGTTCTAAGGTAAGGAATGATTATTTTACTAAACAAAAATATTAATTTTTTTCATAATTCTAGGTGGTTAGATGATGCAGGTCTACCTCAACACAAAGAAAACTTTTTAATAAACCGAGTGGACGGTCGTGTGCTACACCGACTTACCATAGACGATCTTGCATTGCTGCACGTTACATCACTTTTGCACGTAGCTAGTATTAAAAGGGGAATTCAAGTTCTAAGGGAAAATAACTATGAACCCACGTGTTTGCAGAGAAGATCTCTGCCGGATGATCCTGACAAGGCTACCCCTAAACAAATATCTTTATGGACAACACACAGGTGATTAACAATTACTTCTTTATTTTCCTATCTGAAATGAGCCCTCATCTTCAGAGAAAATATAATAATTATAAAGTTCCTAACTTTAATGTTCCATCCTACTGAACGAGTGACCTGACTTTTTATTTATGAAAAATCACTATAATAGCTCATATACTGTTTTCAAATATTATTGTGTGAAAAATTGGACATACCTGACATTTTTTTTTTAAATGTGACTTCCTATTGTTTTAGGGTTATGGAATGGCTTCGAGCAGTAGATTTAGCAGAGTACGCGCCCAATCTTCGCGGAGCTGGGGTCCACGGAGGTCTTATGGTACTGGAACCGAAATTCACAGCTGACTTGTTAGCTTCTTTACTTTCCATCCCACCTGGTAAAACTTTGTTGAGAAGGCACTTGAATACTCACTTCAAAGAGTTATTGGGTAAGGATATTATACAGGAGAAACGGGAATTGGAAGCTACCATGGGTTATACTCCGTTGACGCCTAGTGGGAAATTGAAAGTAAGTAAGGTAACTTATATTTTATGTATATTTTTGCTGCGCAGTGCAATTAGGAAAAACAAAAATCTAAGAAATCACTTTTCCTCTTAATTTTACTTCTTGGAAACTTCTTTCTCATTATTATTTTGTCTCTGACTATTTTGTAAAGCAAGTATGTTTTTTGTTTCATTTACATTACCATCAAGGTGTCTCAATTTTCTCAAGACGATGAAGTCTTCTCTTCCTAAATTGCTTTATTAGCTTTATTTCATGTGAAAAGTGATAAAATTTGAGGAAATAATATGACAGAAGTTTTGACTATTCTTATTGGGTTTTAAATTGGCCATTACTTGTTTGCTTAAATTATTCTTTCCAATTTATTCAATCTTTTTTTAGGTGGCCAAAAAGTCCCAATTCTCACTAAAAAGAAAAAAGAGCAAAGGAGAAGCAGATTACGGAGATTTAGTGTGTCCACTAAATGCGGACAAACAGTCAGGTGAACTGAGTACTTCTACTCTTAACATGGGTGTAAGTTACTAACTAATTTGCCTAACAAACGGATAATTACTATTTTTCTCTACAAAAAAAAAACGGAAGTTTTTGTCTAAAAAGGTGTCTTTTTTCATGCCTTCAAGATTCCTGAGATATTGATCATACACTGTTGAGTTTTTGCCTTATGACTGACTACAAGTGGTTGTTTCATGTTTTTGGGTAACTAAGTGCCTACCTTAAGTAATAACAATTACTAGAAACCGCTTATTCTATAGAAGCTACTAGAATCTGTAAACTACATTTCTTCTTTCTACAGTATATTATGCCAGTCTGTATATTTGAACAAATAGTGTGCAGTTTTTGTGTAAGATTCAATTTATAATTTGATTTTGTAGTTGAAATTAGATGGAATCTTGTTTTTTTTTTAATATTTAGATGCATTCAATATATTTTTAGATGTATTTAGTGAAAATAAAAAGCATCAGTTTTAGAGTTTGAATTTGCTCTCTGCCTAACAATACAATAGACACAAAATATCAAGGATTTTATACTTTATATGATCTAAATTGAAACGACATAAAGACTAAAACTCCACTTAATGCTAAGGAATTATATTTGTATTAGGAAATGGTTCAATACAGGAAGGTTTAACGGAATTATAATTTTTTGCACATACAGGATGTCCCACGGTGGATGGCGTACTAGATGTTAATGGAAAACTAAAAAGCGGATCATTTTGAAAATTTGACAACCGAGATAAATGACCATAATCTACACTTTAAAAATATTTTTGTTTATGCGGTGTTGCCGCTTCTACTCTTAACCAGAGGCAGCATCGCTATGTTAAATGAAACACCGTGTATGTGATTCCATATTTGGATTCTACATAAAATTCTGAGCAGATTTCATGTGATATAAAGTCTGTTTTTTTTTAAAGATAAAAGTCAAAATGACATTAGGTTGGCAATACAATGTAGAATTGTGAATCTTTCAAATTTTTTATGTAGAAAAGGCTTGTGTATACAACATAGTTACCAAATTTTTGATTTGGGGATTATCTTTGAAAAAAACTATCATTTGATACCAACTTTGAATTTAACCAGATATTGAGTTTGACCTAGAATCCAAATATGCAATCACATACAGGGTGTTTCATTTAAAATAGCGATGTTGCCACTGGTTTAGAGTAGAATCGGCAACACCGCATGAACAAAAATATTTTTAAAGTGTAGATCATGGTTGCCAAATTTTCAAAATGTTCCGCTTTTTAGTTCTCCATAAACATCTAATACCTACGCCGTCCACCGTGGGACACCCTGTATATATTGCCTGTATTGAGAGAATTGTTCAATGCCTCCTAACTATGAGAGAGAATCCAGATATGATTTCATTGAACGATTTCTGGCTTTTGTAGGTAAATTTTCAGAATTTCTTATTTCCTGTTCAAGAAACATAAATGATTTTAACTCAAATTTTATTTTAGCACGTTGAAACGGACTAATACTTCATTTCCTTAGAGCTTTTTCACAGTTTTATTACATCAAGCTATCATGCAATACCCAAAATGGAGACCCTTTCTAGGTCATAACACAAACTTTGGGTCTTATTGGAGAAACAACAAATGAAGGAGCTTTTTCAGCTGCTATTAACAGAATGGGGCCTAACCCCTTATGTTTTTTTTTTTTTGGGCAAAATTCTCATACATAAAGGTGGATTTATACAGTACATAACATAACATAAGAAATAAGATAAAATAAGACATAACATAATATAAGAAATAAGAATTTTGTGGCGTTTATACAGAAAATAACATAACATAAGAAATAATTTCTAACCAATCAGCTGGTACGTGTACTTATGTAAACTCTAACGAAAACACTATATTTGATCAAAAAAATTATTAATCAATAATTTAGCAGAAACAGAAAATAAATATCGAATTCCAAAAAATTGCCAATAGCTGAAAACAGAATCAAAATACTTTTTTTTTGGTTGGAATGTTTTGTTTACTACTCTGCTATTGCCGAAATCAAGGGAGGAGCATGCGCAGATCCGTTTTTACATAAAATAAGACATAAAAGTTAAAAGTTAACCAACTTTCTTATTTCTTATGTTATGTTATGTTATGTTATGTTATTTTCTGTATAAACGCCATAAGGGGTTTCCATAAGGTCAACTTTTTATCTTATGTTATGTTATTTCTTATATTATGTTATGTGGCTGTATAAACCCACCTTTATATGTATACTTATTCATAGCCAGAATGAATAATGGTGTGATAACGAGACAGGTGGTTGAATGAGCGGACAAATAGAGCAAGATATCTATAAGCTTGAATTAAAAATGCGTCAAAAAGCTGAAAAACCTCATTGCAGACAGGAGGAAGCCAGTACTGTAACCTCAAAATTGCAAAGAATGAGTCCTCACAAAAAATGTTGTTTTTATTGCAAAAAAGCTGTTAATTATGTGTCATGTACTGTGACAAGGCCAGTTTTTACCACGAGAGTTGCGCCAAAAAATCTAACGCAATGAGAAGCGGATTAGTTAATTGTTCCTATTGTCCCCATACGCCCCATCTCTCATGCATGTTGTCGCCGTTGAGGGTGATTCCAGTGCTTCTTTTGTTAATTTTGGTGGGTCCAGGGGCTCTTTTGATGAACTCTCAAAAACAACATTGCTTTCAGAGAGGTGCTTGAAAAAACTGGTATAGGGCATGTCCTTGTGACGTCACAAATGAGTTTGACAATCGCTCTGAGGTAAAACAAATCATTTATTTACATTCGTGTAGATTAGGCCGGTTACGTTTTATGAGGTTTTCACAGCTTTTTTACAAGTTTTTGTGTTATTTTGTTTTAAAAAAGTTAAAGTAAAGTGTTTATGTTCCAATCTATGTGGTCTTTTATCCAGAAGTTTGCTAGGTTTTTCTATAATGGATTGAATTCAGGTTTTGGTGATAGATCACTTTCGGTCCCTTCGATTTTCAATATGATTTTGATTATTACTGATAAACAAAGCAATTTCAAGATGTTTAGCGAGAAAAAAAATATGGATCCTTGAATATTTATCAAGTTATGATTTTTTTAATTTAATTTTTTTCTTTGTTAATTGTGCATCTTTGATAGGTATAGCGATATTAAGCTGATAAGAATAGATATTATTTATTGATCTGTGTCAATGGTTGAGAAGCGAGAGGATATAAGACATTAGTGACTAGTGATTTTTTACAATTATTATTATTTTCTTCATTTATTTTGTTGACTTTAATAGATTTCTATTTTATGGCAAAATCACCACCTTGGTAAATATTTACAATATTTAATGTTTATGGAAATGGTTTTTTTGAGGTTTTTTACTGATTTTATTGATTTTTTACTGGTTTTTTACTGACATTTTCAAAATTCCTAATTTGTTATTAGTTTCCTCAATTAACTTAGTACTTGTCTATTAATGACCTGACGGTGCAATCTTTGCATTAAAGTAAATGGTCAACATTTTGAACAATTATTGTAAACCATAATTTATTTGTTAATAAATAAGCAAAATTAATAAGTAAACAGTGATTTAATTATTGCGAAGAATAAAAGAATAAAAGAAAAAACAATTTTTTTGCTCTACAGCCAAAATGGCTCATTTGCGGACATATGTTTATATAAACAAAAATGCTTGTTTTTTGTTTTGATGTCCCTTACCACCCTTTAAAGTTTGTCGGTATCTTTTTAGGACACCCTGTATATTTAAATAATATATTGTTTATCAAAAAAATGAACTCATCCATATTTTTTTTTCTTCATTATGTCCTAATAATTGCTCCAATGCAAATTTGAACATAGAAAAATTGTCCGTTTTTAGGGACCTAATGTGTTCTAGACCCCAGGTTTTTTCTAACAAATATCAAAACCAAGTGTCATAAGAACAAATATATAAGTATAGTTACTCTATATTCAATCTATTTTTCTATCAGATCTTCTCTTTTACCAGCATTAATCAATTTTTCATCAAACTTCCCATTGTTATTTAAAATTGGTGAAAACCTATAGAAGGGTATTGTATCCCTTGCGCTATACTGCCACAATTAACAACTAAACAAACTCTAGGCATGTCCAAGAAACTTCTGGATCACACAGAAGGTATTTATAATAATAATCTAACTAAAAACTTAAAAAAACACTGTAATTTTATCTTTGTTTTACCTCAAGGCGACTGTCAATAGTGTCAAACTGTCAGATCGTGTACTTGCCCTATTGGAGGTTCAGCACTACTGTGGTTTAAGGATTATCTGAAGTGCAGATTACAGTAAGTATGTTGAATGTAAACAACAGAAGTCAAATGGAAAACATTGTATACAGATTGCCCCAAGGTTCAATTCTTCATTTCACATATTATACCTCTTCAGGGCTCACTCAATCTATATGCATAATGATACTTGCATCACTTATTTTGATAAGGACCCTGCTAACTTGAAAATCCTCATTGAAAAAGACTTACAGAAAATAAGCGATTGGCTCTGTTATCACAAACTTAGTTTTCAATGTACAGGGTGGTTGATTTTCGATAGTTTAATAGGGTACAGCCAAAATGGCCGAAGATACTGAGAAACTGATATACGCTTCCCGTCCTCTTTTTAAGTGTGTCATTTGATGGTGTAGTCAGATCTTGGCCGACAAGATTGGTTTGCGAGGTACAGGATCTTTTTCAAAATCAGCTGTTTTTTATAATCCTCTATAGGTAACTTCTTACCCTACGGAGATATAGAAAAAGTGCAAAAAGGAAAAATACTTTTTTTTTATTTTACGTAGAATCCAGTGGCGACCTTGGAAAAAAAAAATGGGGGCTTTATCTTCTGAGATATTCGAAAAAACAAAGATTTTTCAAATAGAACACCCTCTATCTTATTGGTTCAGTATTTTGAGAAAAAAATTGCGAGGTCAACGATATACATATAACACATGAAATTTTGTTTTGGTCTAAATGGCGAAAGCAACAAAAAATACTTTTTTCTACTATCGTACGTAAAGTACTCACTTTACGCACTATTC